GTAAATCTCTTTATAAACGTGACTGTAAAAAAACGCTAATCGATCGGACCTCAAAAACTAAATAAATGGCGCGAAACATCCAGAGAAATTAGTACAGCCTGTCTAGGAAAACGAAAATAAGAAAAGAGCCAAAAACATCAGAGGCTGACCACCGGGCGAAATAGCACTGGGCACAGCAACAACAGGAAAACAGCTACTTGGTTATGCGAATATTCTGAAGACATACGCAATGATGAAACAACAATTGATCAAAGTAAGTAAAACAAAAGTAAATATCTTTTAGAATCAATGAAACAGCACTGTACTTCATTTCGGCAATTAAAAAAGGGAAATTTTGCATTTAAAATTTTTTTATCACTTCTTTCCTAATTTTATTTCTGTTGTGGGGTTTAAGAAATTTGCGGCAACAAACTACTCAGGATCTAGTTCTTGGTAGTTTCCCTCAGCTCACTGAATTAGTGCGGAAACAATTTTCTAGATGTTTATTAGGGTTTTATTTGCTATGAATTTGTGTTGAAAAGATATTTTTTCGTGGCCTGGCGGCGGCAACATTTTAGGTGAGGTAGTAATGTTCAAAAAGATCAGCGAGAACTCGAAACGATAAAATATTTAGTAAGGTTCATTGAAATTTACATGTTCGAAAGGAAGAGGTAAGTTTGCAATCCGTATTTCATCCCTTAGCTGTAAATACAGAGTGGATGCTAGTAGAAATGGGGATCGCCAGTACCAGCTTCCTCCTGCTCACCATGTAGGAAAGAAGTAGAGTTAAATAAGCAAGACATAATAATGACATGTTGAAATGCTAGAAGCAGAGGAAGAGAAAAGAAGAAATGAAAAGGAGTAAAAAGGAAGAAAAGAATGATTGGTAAATCGGTTAATAGTATAAAAACAGTAAAAGATAACTTGAATATGTGGGCACTTACGTGCACCATATAATTTTTTGTTTTACTTTTCTTCATTACTGGCTCCATCATTTGCTAGAAATAATGTCTGCTGTGATATTTGGTTAACTGTAAATGGAAAGTCCAAAGTCTTGTTATATACATTAATTCTTACAACAAATATCAGCCTTAATATATGCAGCTACCATTACGAAATTCTACCTCAAAATCTAGGAAACTGACTTTTATCCCAGAGTATGCAGTCTTAAACTCAAGATAAGATTCATGAATGTTATTAGATACATTAACAAAAACAGGAAAATTAATAACAAAGATATCATCGATATACTGGAGAAAATACATGTAAATATTAGGATTTTTTTCGTAAAAAATGGTACTCCATATCTAA